CAGAACATCTATGACCGGCCAACAAAAACAACAGCTCCAGCCAGACTACTATGTTAAGAGGGGTCTGGTGTTTTTATGTGTACATAGCTACATGGTGGCATCTGGCCAGGATCAAGCATGGTGCTGGTTATAAAAAGGTGGAGAAATGTGGATGTTTATCGTATGCTACTGAAGCAACTTAGATGATTTTTCAAGAAAGCGCTGGCATTACAGGATAATATCTATTGGGCTAATTACAGGGTTCATATCAGAGGGCACAGCTTGGTTCCCTATCTCCCCTGCTGGGGAGAGTCAATCAGCACACCACCAGGTGACAGATTTCACCATGGCACAGTAACACTGTGAAAGAGGGAGCAAAATATTGTTGTCTGACATGCCAACTAATAAGTAATTATAGTCTAGGCCTTCACAGATGGCAGACCCCACAGTGGTGCCACTGTATTCCACATGCAGTAAAAATAAGCCTACTCTCCCATCAGTGTGGACAAACACAAGTCAGAACAAGCATCACCCAAGCCTCAGAGACTTGACATGCACATGGCTGATTGATTTAAATACCTTTTGTTGTGACGTTAGGAACACTAACACACATACCGAGATTAGAGATGTAACCCTGTACAGGAGTATCTGATAGTTTAGGAGTGAAGACATGAGTCTCATGAATGGGGATTGTTGGAATTAACAGGTGTTCCTCTCTCCCACTGCTAAGAAACATACTAAAATACTGCAGACTCTGGCTGAGGCCTTGTTTTCGGTTTTCTCACTTCCTTAGCCATTTTTGTTTGTTCTGTTTTTTTTACAGCCAATTTCACTTACTTTCCAACACTAATCTCCTCTCATACTGGCAAGACAGAAGGACAGGACAGCACTAGCTATTCAATATACTGAGGTTGTGGGCATCTAACTTATCAGTATCTAACTCAGTAAAGAACGCAACATGCCCCTATCATTCAATCCTTCCCATGCTGCCAGTTGCATTCCTCCATGGAACATGGCACATCTCAGATTCGATCTGTTTCATAGACTGTACTGTTGTGCCTTAAAGAAGACACTCAAACACTGAGAAGAGTGCATGGCTGTTGAAGGGAATGCAGTTTTAATCACACAAAAGTAAAAGTTGCCATTAGCTATTTGTAAATGACTGCAATTACTGGCAATAACCATAATGGCAATAATCAGCATGACATTAGAACTTGAATACTGCAATTATGAGATGGCATAAAGTAGGCTGGACATAGCTATTGTTTCCAACCTGCAGTGTAAACCTGATATTTATTTTCTTCAACATCTACAATGACAGAAATAGGCATGAAAATAACAGTCAACATCCACAGTTTCCTTTTACTGTGCATATCTGGGCCAGCCATGCTGGACAATGCATATGCAATATTTATAACCTTATACTCTCAAGAACAAAATGAGGGGGTGTAACACAATTAGCATTGCAACAACAATGCTGAGTAGAAGGCTCTGAATGGAACCAGCCGGATCTAAGCCTTTGGAAGAACTACTACATAAGTGACCTTAGATCAGCAATGAAATCAGCCTGCTACAACTTCTGAACGGAAAAGGATCAAGACCTTCATTACCCCCACAGCTCCACAGCTGTACATAGAGTCAGAGTATTCCTTAGTATTAATCACACCATTAATATTGATTATTTCCAAACTTCCCCCTCTAGAGCTGGAGGATGCTGCGCTACGATAATGATACCTTCTCACTAATGATTTCAGCAGACCCACAAGCCTGCCTCTCCGCACCCTCTGATATCTTACAAGAAACTCTGCTGAAGTAAGCCTTTAATACTTCACGAGTGTGGCTGCTCTGGGTTAAAAATGAGTCAGATGCCAGCATCCAAAGAGGTACAAAATGAAAGCCAACAAAGAAAAACTGAAAATGAGTTCCTTTGTGGAAGTAATATTTCTAAAAAAAAAATCTAATAATAATAATAATAATAATAATAATAATATAAACTAAGATGAATATTATGCAAAGGCCTGGGTGGATCCTGTTTAAAAATACCAATTGAGAATTTGTTGCTCAGTATTTTCTTCCCCCATCTGTTGGTTTCTGTGGATAAACTTAAGAGCAGTGTCTGAACTACGCACTGTAATTAGGGAATTCTTCACATGTTTGAAACAAAACGCTAAGCCACACTGCCTGATTGTTGGGGTTTTTCTGTGAACTCATTTTGGCTGCCATGAAATCAATTTATACCATGACATAAATAGCTGCATGTATACTGCATACATATAAGTCCAACCATGTACTACAACTTTCACTCGCAATATTATATATTCAGTCAGTGCAAATGAGCCATTGCATTACAGCTCAAATAATAGCAAGACGCAAAAGGTTCCAAGGCAAGCATTGATGTAGAAAACAATATTCAAACAGCACTTGTGACAATAAAAGTTCCCGTACACTTTGCTCACTATTTTACTATTATCACAACTTTTGTAAGGGTATTTCCTTGTAGTACACGTTTGAAGATCAAAGCAAATGAGCTTGTTTAAAATGAAATCTGATCGATCTTTGTTCTTACAGAACCCTCAGCTTCGTTACTATGAGATGGTGACACAGAATATGCTAGGAGTGCACAGTGTGACCACTCTGGCAAACTGAAGTAAAACCAAGCGGATAATTATTAGAAGGGACAAGCACTTGCTTATGAAACAGGTTCAGAAATAGTTTGTATAAAATGATGCAATTTTAAACATGCATACAAATTGTAGAAAGAAAAAGAACCTACACTTATCTCTAGTCTTCATCATTCAGAACTTCTCATGCCATTGATTGCATAACTTCCAATACTGAATCATGCAGAAGTTACAAGAAAGTGGTAATAAACATTGCTGGCATTGAACATATATATTTGAAAATATATATTTGGACGGGTGTATCTGAGGGCTACTGAGCACCTGCTACATGTACGTTCAAGAATAAGCAAAGCCAGTCTGCACTTTTTTTTGCCGGTGACATGATCGCAGTTACAGTGAAATACAAACTCACTCTCTGCTGTTTTTATTTAAAGTTACTGGAAGTGTGAGAAGGTGATATAAAAATGATAAATGATGTGAATGTTGGCAATTATAATATTTTTATTGAGATTGCTTGCCCTGGATGTAGCTGTAGTGCTGCATAAGTTGTGAAAGGCCTTGTATTATCTGTGCTATCACTTTATCTCAGATTTGATAAAGTGCTATTAAACACCTGTGTCTGTGTTAGTCACGTCTGAGTTGCTGAAGTCTAAGAAAACTGGAGGGAATGTGAAACAATCCTGAGTAGGGCTTTCCCAAGTGAACATTTTGTCTCTCTCTCTCTCTTTCTCTCTTTCTTTCTTTCCCTCTCTCTCTCGCCCATTCACAAGGTTACATAACAGAGCTAAGGCGTTCTTTTTCCTGCCTTTCCCTTCCAGATGCACTTTAGTCCTTTGCAGTAAAGGGTGGAGATGAATATAGGTCAGCGGGTTAGGAGTGTCTCGTGGCCAGACTTTTTCATTAAAGAAAAAAGGGGGTCTGACTCAAATCAGCCTAAAATAAAGGTTTAAGCGGGTGAAATGCCGTCATATACCTCCTTCAGTCTGCTATTACATAACCAGGCTGAACTCGGAAATTAAGCGAGTCACAAAGTGAAACAGTCGTGCTCTTTCAGCGCTCGTAGAAAGTGGAAAAGGTGGGAAAAGAGAGGCTTAAATGTCGACGTTGCGGCACAAAAGAATGTGTTTAGTGTTTAGAAAACTTCTCGAGCGCGCGCGCGAGCTGAATGATCTCCCTCTCGCTCTCTGGAGCGCGCGCTCCTCTGTTTATGGCAAAACTTGTTACATAACCAGCTTACATTCCACCTTCACCATATCAGCGGCTAAATTTACCCTCGCGCCGCCGGTCTAACGTGGACCTAGCGGACGCGGTGAGCGCGGGGTCGACCTACAGCGAGCCCCACCGGCCCCCAAAACTTTTAGCCCCCCTTACTTTTCTGTTCTTCTTTCTTTTTCTGCCTCTTAGTGAAATCACGCTAAGGCGCAGATCCATTTTCCGCCGAACTTGGACGAGCGGAGCTGAATGGAGGCTGCCGAGGGGGAGTGGCTTAAACGAGCCTCTACTGTCTCTACTGTAAAACACAAGCGGCTCCTCACAGCGCTGGGCTCGGCGGTGCCCCTCATTATGATGACCGCGCGGCGGTTACGGTCCCCTCATAGCCGCGTTCAACATCTGTTCCGTCTCCACACGCGCGTTAGCGACTCCGCGCAGCGCACGAGCTGGAGCGGAGCGGGCAGAGAGAGAGAGACAGTGATAAAGACAGAAAGAGAGAGAGAGAGCGCGTGCACCGACACGCAAGGCTCACTGACAGCTAACGTGGAAAACACACACAGCCGTACTCTCACACACACTCACTCACTTACACTCACGCCGTGGGACGTGGAAGTATGTTTGAACACACGGTCCATGAAAACAGCTGTGAAACTGCTGAAAATGTGTCATTATAGCGACTCAAGCGGCGGAGAAAAGTGCTCAGTGAAGTTGGATTCCAGAAAAGAAAATCAGCGTTTCGCCAGTCAAATCAATGGCCTTTAATTGCGGCCACATACCTAAAAATATGCCGCTTTTGAGCCGGATTTGCTGGCCGCACTGATCTGCTTCTGTAACGGCTGGCTGTTTGTGTAATTTTAATCTGAGGAGCCGCTGCTGCCTGGCGCTGTCATAGCCAGCCACAATGCTAAGATCCGCCTGCCTGCCTGTCAGTCGCGGTTATGCGAGCAGCGGCAGCAGCAGCCCAACTCCACACTGTTACAATGAAACGTGTTATAAACGGCCAGAGAAGCTAAAGAAATGCGGGCTCTCGGTTTCAGAGCCACAATAAAAAACGCCTCAGATCTCCATTCCACGCACAGCTCCACCGATCTGAGTTGATCCTGCCACGGATTCACTTTGAAGTTTGCTGCATCAGTGTTCAGGCAGATCAATAGCTCGCCGCTGACACTAAACTCAGTGGCCTCTTACCTCTGTTGGTGCTGGAGCAGCTCTGTCTCCTGACCGGGGCTTGGTGCTCAGCTTTGCGGAGAGTCTCCAGGTTTACCGGGGTTTCCCTGACCGGGGTAGCCGACTCTGAGGCGCTGTTGCCCGGGTCGCTTGTTGGATCTGGAGGGGACTCCATGTTGTATCTCGGGGTTTTTTTGGCGTCTTTTCTCTCTCTTCTCTCCTCTTCTGTCTTCTAGCGGACCACGAGGCGTCGCGACGAGATTTTTTCGAGCTAAGAAGACTTCGCCTGGCCGTGTAAATTTAGAGCAGAACTAAGAAATGTTCAAAAAACGCGAGTGTAGCCAGAGGTGGGTGTGTGGGTCTGATTGTCCACTGGCAGCGCTAGAGAGAGCTCGAGTCAGACGACTGAGAAAGGGAGAGGTTGTCAATAGTCGATGAATGGATGTGAGCGGTGGAGGAGCCCTCTCACACTGAGCAATGCCTCTTTCATGTCCTCTTATTATGTTTCACAGATATGTCGACATGTTCGCCGGGTCTCAGACTGTCGATGCGCTGGAACAAACGCACGCAGCAGGGCAGAAACAGCAGAATGATCACAAGGAGATGTGCTCGATCTCGGCTATGGCAGCTTCTCATCACTATTATTATTTTTAACTTTACTGAATTATGAGCCTAAACACGGGCTGATGATCAGACAGCAATATTGTGAGAAAATGAGATGTACCGATGCTCATAAAGGCAACATATGTACTGCGTTAGTGAACATTAACATCAAACACCATATAATGTGAATTTAGGCTCGATCTTGGCAATGGCAGCTTCTCATCACTGTTTTTTTTCCTCAACTTGACTTAATTATGAGCCTAAACACGAGCTTATGTTCAGACAGCAACATTGTGAGAAATCATGTTTACTGAAGCTCATGTAGGCAACATATGTAATGCATTAGTGAGCATTAACATCAAAAACCAGATCTGTCCGTCTCCCATTCCAAACACCAAATGTTTACAATGCTCCAATTGTCATATAATGACATATGATATATTTTTTTTCAAAATAACCTTGCAAAATAACCTATATATATATATATATAATATATATAGTTCAAAATTTAAATATATTTACCCCATTGGGAAATTAACATTATTGCTATTTAGTTATTATATTATTATATAATATTGCTTTTAATTATTACACGTTGTGCTGTGGTTTAGCTGAGATATTTGATATTGACCCTAATGCAGAAAAGCCCTTTTTTAGTACAGTTTCAGAGTAAATATGTTCAGGCCGCTGTTTTCTGTGGAGGCTGTCTTGTGTACTTTTATCACACAGGCCTTGAATTCTAGTCACAAGGCTGAGTTGTGTTACAGTGTAACCATGTCTCGCTTCTGGACCAAAAAAAAACTCCTATCACGATAAATCGCACATTTTTTAAAGCTAAACTCTTCTCGTTCGCGTTCAGAGCCGGTGGAGAGCAGCCTCAGCCATATCCGCCTCAGTAGATTAAGTTGGTCTGGATGCTCACAGACACCGCCAGCTGATCAAAACCTCCGCTACTGACGTTCAGCTAAGTTCGCACATAAACGGGCTGTGTGGTTAGACAGAGGACGACAGGAGTGAGAGTTTTCTCGGATAGTGTCATTGCTCTTTCTCCAGTCGCAAATGGCGCTGCCAAAGTCCACGTGCACTGCTGGGGAAGGGGGCGGGGCTCCGGAGGCGTGCGCGCCGCTTCGACCCGCCCCACCCACAGCAGCGCACGTGGACTTTGGCATGGTCGGTGATCACCCGGCTAACCTTTGAGCCACACACTTCAGAGAAACGGGCAGTTACCTTTAAAAGCCCTGCAAGCCTAGAAACTCAACGGCAATCATTGGAAACCTTCTCTAACAGGTGGCCTAATGGCGGCAATCTCCCACTGACTGTTATCACTAATAAGAAGCAATAGAGGCAGCAGTGCCAACCATTGCAAAGCATGAGCTCAAGTTATTTAACCTGAAGGGTGTTGAGTATATTCCAGTTTAATGATGTGCCAGCTCTCAATGCCCTATTCGTTCTCTAATAATGAGTAATACATTCACTGACGAGGTTCACCTGATGTATTTAAAGCACAGACCCAGAAAGCCACAAACTTTAAAAAGCCACTGATGTTAAAGGCGCACTAGGTTACACGTCCACATTTTACTCCTAAGTCAAAGATTAGTGACTCACTGTTTGCCCCATGGTTAGTCACATGGATTGTTAGGACACTGAAATGTGGATGACCTCTAGTGTCCCCTGTATAAATGAAAATGAATTTTTCCAGGTCTATTGGTCAGGTCAGTTAACTTTGTTTCTTATCACTATGAAAACATCCATACCTAGACTATTTAACAGTGCAATAATTATTTTTCTCAATGTGTCACCTGGTCCTGTTGACAAAAATATCTATGTTCACTTAAAGCTCAAGAAACAACAGCAAATGATCAGCCCATAATTAATGCAGCATTAAATCAAGTTTTACAGCTAATGTACTTCTACACTTCCAGACCTGAAAATCAACCAATTCAGTCCTTCTTGCTTGCCTCTCTTCATGGCTTGTTGACACTATGCTCACGCTGATGATGGCCCCCAGCCAAATAAAATCCGAGATCAAACTTCAAACCACAGCATGACATCAAGGGCTCTCTTTCATACCAGGGTATGCAACTATCTAATTCTCACAATAAGAAATCAGGTTTGACAAGCAAACACTGTTCTTTTTCTATTTTATATTTCAGGCAGAAAACAATTACTTATTATGCCTCACCTTGCAAGATGACAGTGGTTGCAATGTAACTTGGGGACTGGATTGCACTCAAGTGAGCCTCTAATCAGGTTAGAAATGTAGAGAAAGAAAATCTTATTTAAAATGGCATTACTACATTAAAAATGATCACATTACACACAGAGTTATTATAGCCTGCAGAAGTGGTGGGTCATACGGACAAAAAAAAGACATTTTCACAATACACAATATTTAGGTTTGATAAGCTGGAAAAGACCAAAAAGAGCCAGTAGTACCACATTCAAAAAATATCATCAAAACTATGAATATAATTATTTTTGTTCAGTCAGTTTAGACACCGCACTGCACTAAATCCAATTAAACAGGACAAAATATGTTCTCTTTGTAATGAAACATGTGGTTAGTCATGTGGTTCTTTAAGTATGATATCCATAAATTGCTTGGAAAAGCGTACTGTGATGTAATTTATCACAACAATAAATATCTTCATACTGGCTAGCCCTACCCACAGCGGTTCGTGTCTGTATTATAGCTGGTATGTGTATTGTGTAGAGATGCGTGTTGTATTGTACTTATTGTACTGTATTGTGTATGTTTGAGAGGTCAGTCAGAATGAGGAATCCACTGTAAATGTATGAATGGCAATCAATAACTGTACTGTACCCTAATAAGGTAAAACTGTACACTAAGTTATTTCTCCTTTTTCACAAATGCAATAACAAGTTGGGCGTGTAGCGTTTTTCATTTTGATCTATTTACTTATTTTGATTATGATAAACAATGGCAAAGCAAGTCCTACCAGTTCTGTCACTTGTTATGAGCGATTTGCATGAAGTCATTTGTTGCCAAACAACAAAGTCCATGTTGTAATCAACAAATCACCCTAAATTTGGTCTGTAATGTTTGTTTTTCTTTCTTGAGCCTCTTTCGTATTGCAGCCTTTCTTCTTTCTATCTTGGTGTTCATCAGTATTATTGTGTACAAACCTGTCACACACACACAACTTAGTTCAGAGCTGCTGTAAGAAAAAGGGCTTCAGTGTCTGAATGTTGAATATATTAAATAACAGGGGTGGAAGTGACATGTAATCATTTAAAACATTTTATAGTGTACCATTTACTCTTTACTCCACTGAATGGCTACTACCAAACAAAACCTCTTATCTCCGTCATTTGCCTACATAATTTGAAAATGCCAGCTGTTCACAGTGTCAAAACTTCTCAACGAATGGACAAATAGAGTGTTATGTTAAAAAATCTCAAGAATGTTATTTCCTTCTGCTGTAAAGACATTTTAGTCACAACATTTTAGTCCAATGGTAATGATGTGGATCACTGGTTTTTGATGTAATGAAAACCATCGCATTCACATCTATCTACATCAATTTAGCTCTGCCCGTTCATGCTGATGTTATAAAGAATCAGACAGCCAAGACAGCCAGACAGCCAATCAGAACAGAGCTCATTCCCATATTTCAGTCTTAAAGGGCTAACAATGCATTATGGCTGTTTTTTTTTGCTCATAAAATTACACAAACATCATAAGTGATTTCATTCAGAAAACGTAAGAGTTTATATCATTTAAATAGTAGAAAAAAATTCAAATATTCAAAAAAGCAAACAAACGCTGTCAAATATCTGAGCACACACATGCAGTGGTTTTCACAACACTATAATTAGTCAGTAATACACATTGTGAACAAAATAATTGTTGTGATAATGGAAACCATTTGCAGATCTGTTCAAAATGCAATAATGCCTCCATTATTGAGAGCTAGTTACATCTTACACGATGCAGTTTGCCTTTCCATGTGTCATATTTTGCTGATAACAAGAAATGTCATGTTGTTATTTAGCTTTTAGCATTGCGTATGTGTAATGTATTCTCTTAATGTGCTAAAAGAGCTTGTAAAGCAACGACAGCTGGCTAAACTACAGAGTGGCTTCACAGCTAACACTGCTCTCTTTGTGCTTGTGTAATTTTGAGAGCTCCAAAATGCTGTCTCACAGATCCTACAATCTCCAGTCTGGGTAATTGTCCCACAGATTACGTCCCCAGGCTCAGTCCAAACACATCGGCCTTCCCCTCTCTGAGCTCGTTTTTTAATTACGGACAGTGAAGAGCATGAAGAGCTCGCTCTTACTGGACACACACAAAAACACAATTACCTTTACTCATACAACTCAACTCTACATATACTCATTACACATCCATTTCCCCTCTCTCTGTTTCTCTCTCTCTCTCTCTCTTTCTCTCTCTTTCTCCCCTTTTATTTCTCTCACGTCTCTTTTTTTAGTCACTGTTTTTTTATCTCTCTGTTTCTCTCTCTGTCTCCTTTGTCTCCCCCTCTCTCTTTATTTCTTTCATGTCTCTCCCTCCTTTTGTCTCTCTCTCTTTTATTCACTTATGTCTCTCCCTCCTTTTGTCTCTGTTTCTCTCCCTTTCTTACTCTCTCTTTCTCTCCCTCCTTTTTTCTATCTTTCTATTTCTCTCATCTCTCGCTCTCTCTTCTCTGTTTCACTCTCTCTGTCTCTTCCTCCCTTTCTCTACATTTTTTTGTTTATCTCATGTCTCTTTCACTTTTTGTCTGTTTTTTTCACTCTCTCTCTCCCTCTTTGTCTCTCCTTCTTTTTTGTCTCTCTCTTTTTAATTCTCTCATATCTCTCTCTCTTTTTGGTTCTGTTTCTCTCTCTCACTCTCTCTGTC